AGCTAGAACAAAAAATTTTTCACTGTTAAATAGGGCATTGTTTACACTATATATACCGCTATTCAAAACAGAAAATTTCGTACCTACGATTTTTTCAGAAAATGCCGCCTAAATGCCCACTGTGTGATAATAAATTATCTTGTATTGGTTTTATTAAACTATATCAAAAGATTGAAAATGACTTATTATATAATTCAAAAATTAGATATAATAGTAGTGAATATAGACAATTTCAATTATATAGTTTAAAAAATCGTTGGGCATTTTGCTTAGATTCAATGACTGAATATATAAACATGATAAATATTATTGGTAAAAAGAAAATAATTGAAAAATTTAATGAATTTAAATTGAATATTGAAAAGGATGTAGAAGCAAATAATTTTAAAAAATTAATTATTGAACCAGTTGAATTAATTAAATTAGGTAAATATTATCGAGATAATGAAAATTGGTCTAAAGCATTATTGTGTTATAAAGAAGTATGTAATGATAAATTTTATTCATTTGTCAATTATTATACAAGTTCATGTCATCAAAATATTAATTATGTTAATGGTATTGCAAGTAAAAGAGAATTTAAACGTGATTTATTTAATATTAAACAATCAATTGAAAAAGAAAATTGCAATTTTTTAAATAATGCTGCACAATTAGCATTTGAAATTGATGAAAAAAATCGAAAATTAGGATTTGCTAGTTATGGAAATGAATATGATAAACAAGTAAAAGAAAAATCAATTATGTAGAATATTTTCTCTAATGCAATAACTAGTGCAATTGATTCTCCAATAGATTCGAAAGATCTAACAACAAACAAATATCTTTATGATGAAGAAAAAGCCAAAAGATTATTTAAAAAATTACAAGATAAAAAATTTATCAAACCGTTTCACATTACAAAAATAAAAAATAAAATAGAAGAACTGGAATTATCATCAATATTCAATACTGATTATACAAAAAAGCCACTGCTGGAATATTTAAACAGTAAATCAAATGACAGACGAAGTGTTAATAGAGATTTAAATGAATTAAACGAAGAAACATTTAAAAATGATTTAAAACGGAAGCGAATATTTTTACCATATTCAAATAAATTTATTGATTTAATTAAAGACAATGGTTTCATTGAACAAATCAATAATGAAGAAGACGATCAATTATTTTTATTTCAAAATTTTAATGAAGAAAATTTCACAAATAAAAACTTTCCTCGTGAAATCTTAAACGTAAAAAAAAAGTGTATTCGATTGGTCAGAAGAAATTACAAAAGAAAACGGATTTATAGCCACAAAAAAAGATATCTTCAATCAAATTAATAGTTTTTTAACATCGAAAAATGAAAATAATATAATAGAAAATCAATTCAATAAATTCTATAGATTTTTAAATGAACAATCGTGTTTAGAAAAACTAAATCAATATTCAGTTAGAAAAGACAAAATAATAAAACCCATTGATGATGATTATAGATATTCAAATTTATATTATTTCGAACGTCATTATACGGAAGAATTTCAAAATTTTGATTTAATATTTCGACAGAATTTCTTAAAAATAATTCTTATTCAACAAGATTCAGATAATGATGATTCATATTTTATATTAAAAGATACTATCAATGTAAATGATTTTGAAGTACCCAAAACGGAAGATGCTGCAATTAAGTATTTATGGAATTATCTAAAAAGTACTCCATTAATAAAAGCACCAAGAATTAACATTGGTTTAATAAGTTCAGAGAAAGTTAATAATAAAAGAAACGACATACAAAAAGAAATAAAATTATTCTTAGAAAATGAATTATCAAATGAAGAGAAGAAAGAATTAGATGAAGCGGTTAATTCTGTTTTTAATCTTATTGATCAAACCATGGGCGAATTGAAGAAAATGCCTGATGATAAAACAATAGCAAGTTATTTACAAATAAAAACAACTTATTTTCTTGATAATAAAAAACATGTACCAGATGCTTTAGAAGAATTCATTGAATTAGCATTAGATGTTATATTTCGATTGGAAGAAAAAAAAGAACCACCACAATGGTATGAAATAGCTGCTGTAATTGTATTAGGTGTTGCACAAGTAATAGCTGGTGTTTTAGCTAAAATATTTATACCAGTTGTTGGTCAATTAATTGGTGAATTTCTAATTAGTACTGGATGTGATGATATTTTATTTGGTGTACAATGTGCTATATCTGGTGAATTTAGTTGGGAAAAATATTGGCAACATAAAAAACAAAGTATGCTAAATAGTGCTATATGTGCTGTCTTTTGTGTAGGTACATCATATTTAAAAAATGCGAAGAGATTAAAAAGCTTTCAAAAAGCATGGGAATTTCAGAAATTAACAGGTGCTCAAAAATTGCATACAGCTGCTTCAAAATTTAGTAAAATACCAAATATCGGTAAATATATTGGTAAAGAAATAGTTAAAACATTAGTTCAAACTGGTTTATCTGAATTAGCATCAGTTGGTATAAATAGTACGTTAAATTCAATATCAAATACTTACGAAAGGGAATTACATGGAAAAATTAAACAAGCAGTGAATGATAAATGGAATACGGTTGAATCAGAAATGCAAGAAATATTCCGTTTATCTGAAGGAAATAATTTCAGCAAAGAAATAACTGAAGATTGTATTAACAGAAAATTACAAAATTTACCAGAAGCAACAATACTGAAAATTTTTACAAGTCGATGTGGTCCAGTTATGCAAGGCTTAGGTCGAGCGCTGGCTGATAGTAAAGGTGCTAAAAGCACAATACAACGTTTATTCAGTACATACGCTCCTACATTAATTGGTTTAGGTGTGAATATTGGGGAAATAGTCATAATGATTAGTGACTCTATGAAAAATTTAGCAGCTGATTTAAAAGATGCGAGGAAAAAGCTGAAAAACACAAATAAACAATACGTGTTAACAGAATCTCTCTTAGACGACTTTAAAAAGTTTCAAAATGATAAAATCGATCAAATACCAAATCATTTATCTGAAACTTTCAATCAAAAACTCAAAAGTGGAATTATTGCACCAGTTCTTAAGTTTGCTTCAAACATGTTAATTAGTAATGGTATTGAATCAATTGCTGGTGCAAATCGTATTGAACGATTAGTAAATACTTTTGAACTAATTCATGCAGCATCAAGTCCAAACGATACTAAAACTAAATATGCAGATGATTTAGTTATTTTCTTGGCTGAAGCTAGGGCCGTTGATGTAAACGACCTTAACATCGATCCTAAAGGCGTTTATCCAGCAAATCTTAATGGTGAAAGTTTACAACATGCTTATGACTTATATGGTGATAAAGTAAAAACATTTGTCGATAAACATGGCAAGTTTTATGTACGAAGACCATCATCGAAAGAATATTATCAAAGTGTACGAGATGATAAACCAGCAGGTTTACATGAACAAAAAAAAATAGATGAAGTATTAGGATGTGGTATAACAATAGGCGAAGTAGTCAGTAATGAACAACAATGTATTCTAAAACGAGCAAATGGCTCATCAATCTCATTTGTAATTAAAGATAATCTAGATGGTACAAAACATGCAAAAATATTAGTCGATGGTAAATCTATTAGTATCAATACAAATAGTCAAAATAAAAATGATTGTTATTATAATGTTGCATTAGTTGCTAATGAAATGTCTCAAGGTAAAATATATGATGAAGCAAGGAAGATTGTCGACAATAACAATGTGGTCAAAGAATTAAGAAACTGTGTTTCATTAGCGATGAAAAATGATGAAAAACTATTGAAAGAATTTAGATGGACAAACAGAACTGATTTAAAATCTTATTTTATTAGTTTAACTGGTTACTATGTAGACGACGAGGGGCAATTAGGAACAGATGGTGACAATATAACATATTTTAGAACAAAATTTGCAACTGCTAATTTACCAAAAAAATATTCTGAGATGAAAGACAGAAAAGGAATCGATGATATGGGCAATGAAGTACCATTAGCTGATCACCATCTTAAATCACAGGCAGATATTCGGTTGGAACTAGGCATACTCATATTAAGCTTATCTGATGAACAGTTAGAAAGTACTCTTGAAGCGTATTTAAACGATTCTAGTAATGCCTCAAACAAAGCATTTGTAATGAAAGCAATTGATCGGGCGAATCGCTCTAAAAATCAATCACCCGAGTTTCAAGCTCAATTACATTCTGAAATTCGCCGTAAATTAGTTATATGGAATCCAAATAATCTCGTTCCTGGTCCTCTCTCGCAAGAACGTTTCAAACACTTTGGATCGGCCATTGATGAAGAATTATCTTCACCGTATAATACTACGATACTTAAAAATTCAAATTTAAATATTCTTCAAAAATTAACTCAGTTGAAACCAGATTCAACAGGACCAGCTGTTTGGCGTAAAAATAAAATAGGAAAACTTTGCTACAGTCCACTGTCATCTGGCAAAGTGAATTATTCTTATCCACGTATATAGTGGGTATTCCCGATAATCCAAGAAAAATACAATTAAGTAACGGAAAACCAAGATAGTCGCCAATCTATGATTTTGGTGCATTGTTTTTGTCTACTAGTTTTTCACATATGTATTTATTTTTTTAATAAAACTTGTGAAACAAAGCATAGTGTTTGTTTTAATGTTCTCTTAATTTCAAGAAGATGAGTTTCACAGAATAGATTCAAAGCATCATACGACGCGTTTCGACTATTGCTTAGATAGTGGGTGAGAGGTAAGAGTGAGGGGTGAATTTAATTATTAGTTTGAAATCGAAAGCGAAAGCACTTCTATGAATCTTTGAAAGATTATTCTCTATCACCTCACTTGTCGTAGAGACATATAGCGAGACGAGCTCTCGCTGTTCGAGTACTGGATGTCACGGCTTGTCCACGTAACTCGGGACTTGGCTGATCAAGTTTTTGAAAAAATTATTTTGGAATAGAACTGGCTAAATTAACCGATTACTCAAACTCCTTTTAATTTGTCAGATATAACATATGTGATAAAATATAACAGTATGTGTCACTTCGTAGTCAGGTAAGTTCATACTAGCAAAAGAAACAAGAAAAAGCCAACTTGTTATCGTTCGGTACCCATAGAAAATATTTTCTGTCCTTTCATCTCCACGTCTCTAAAAAGGCAAATATTTCAACGCTTAAGGAAAAAAGCCTTTTTTTAAGAGTATTTATTGCACTTGCTTTTACTTTTTATTATTACTGTTAAAAATACAACATGTTATATAGACGCGCAAACTTAGATGTATTGAAATATGTAATGTTTATCGCATTTGTCATATACATGCAGAAAGCATGATAGCTTTTTGAAACAATGATCTAAATACGTAAGTTATTTTATTCCTATGAGTCTATTGATGGTTATCATAACACTACTTTTCCGTGAACACGAGCCCGACTCTTTAGCGAGTTTTTCATAGTACACATCTGAGTATTTTTGGCAGTGTGTGGAGGGCGGTGGAGATGCGAGGGCAGTGTGAGAGTGAGTTCGAAAAGTTGTTTTATATAAAAGATATTTGTATGACGTAGTATGCATGTGCTTTAGCTTGGGCAAAAAATACTTGCGGAATACTCGATGAATCGATGGTCATTGCCAACTACTAATTTAAAGTAGTTTCATGTGTTCTGAATAGATGCTTATCTTTCTACTTTTGACTCGTAGCATTTAAATGTCTCTTTAGTGAAAGTCGTTAGTCTGATTGGTAGGTAGTTGAACTGCTACGGTATTACGATCTTATGTGGCTATGTGAAATATGACCACATAGTTATTTGTTATGAGGACTGGACATGTTAAACGTAAGAATTTACAAATGCAACGAATAAATAATCAAACACAGCGGTAATTAAGCCAGGATGACATCAACACCTTCCCAGTAGCGAGCTATCTTCTACAAAAACCTTTAAAGAGGCAATACAGCACGACACATGTGCGACGTGTCGGTTTCATCATGACAAATAAAAGATTGAGTGAATGCTACATAAAAGTTGCATGATTGCTTTACTAAAAGTTTATTTGTTATATACTTTGCTTCGTAGTTGTCAACAACTATAAAGGAAAGTACATAAATAAATTATTTAGCACATCAGCTTCGTACACAAATAATAGCTCAAAAAAGATTGCGTTACTATAGTCCATAGATACGAAACAGCGTATGCGTTGTGCGTTCCGGATGTACTCTGCAGCAAAAATGAAATGCTATAAGAATGAGTGCATTCAGATGGCTCTCTGTCTTTAGTAGGATTTGTCTGTTTTGCAACTGCTCAGTGGACGAAGTGAATGATACGTTTTATGCATCTCCTGTAAGAATTGCAATACTTAGTGTTTTTCACCATTAACTTTCAATTCATTCTTCACCGTAAATAACTACACGTAGTATAACTAAGTATTTATTCGTTATATAAAAGAAGATTATATGTCCTGCTCACAATTAAAGTGAATACTTGCTGTCCCTTAATCATCGTCTAGAATTGCTGCACAAAGTTTGCCCGAAACACACTTCATTTACACACATATGGAGTTGAAACAGATTTGGCTGCAGTATTGTTACAGACGATTGTTGCAGTTGAAGAAAAATCTTTTTTGCAAGTTACTTATAAGCATAAGGACATGACTAATTCAAAAATATCTCTGCTCAGGTCTATTCCGTTACCGAGATAAGTTATGAAGGCAGAAAAAGTAGTTACCTAGGAGACATTATTTGTAAAATAACTATAAATAACTACTTTTTATGCCGGCTACTTATAATCATAACTTTATGAATAAAATAACAATAAGTAGCTCGAGTACAGTATAGAGACATGTTCTAGGTGCGAGCTTACTTTCCATTGGTATAAATCGTAAAAAAATGGGAAGTCCGACATCGTGAAAAGTGGAAAAAGTCCAAAATTTGCGCACTATCTCCATTGGGGATATGACGGTTTCATATCAACTCCTATCATAGGAACTGTTGAAAAGCTGCTGGAGCTGATATGTTTGAACAGCTCTTTTGAAAGGAGCTGATATGTTCGAGCAGCTCACTAGTCGTCTAGACAAAGTTTAAACGTCCCGAATGTTTATTAGACGTTCATATCAGCGAAGTCCTGCAACCATAAATAGAAGCTTGTAAAATGGTCAATTTTTAACATTGCCTTCATATTGTTCTGTTAAACGTTAATCTCTTCATTTGCCCTCTTGCCACACTACTTTTAAAACTAAAAGAAAATTGTGTATTATAGGCTGTAAAGTATATATGAATAACGAAGAAATTTTAGATACAAAGTTTTGGTTACCGAAAAATGACACTATTGGGTTTGTTTCAATTTCAAAACCAAATAACAGAGATTATCTATCGGTTTATATCGGAAAACAAAACATTTATCATTCAATTTCTGATAATGAACCGGAGTACAATGTGTTAGTAAATGAACAGCTTACATGGGTGCCACATGAAAGTTAGTACTTTGTACGATTTTTTAGAAATGATGATAGCGAAAACATGAATATTTTGTTTTTGAAATTCTAGAACATCCAAATCCTTTCCATGTATGTGCCGTCTCAAAATCAAAAGATAGTAGCAAGAAAGCAAAGAAACGTAAACGAAACGAATGATTTAAAGATTTATAAGAAAAACAAAAATACCAGTCATCTCGATCCCGGTTACGATTATTGTCTTCATTTTTCGTCAAGTCAAAATCCCACATATTTAGTGAGATCTTGAAAAAACTTATTTGTAGTTGTAATAAATGTATGTCTTCAAAGTCAAAAAGTGTATAAAGTGTCCGGTACAGTAAACTAAATATGTGTTGATTTCTAAGTATGTCAAAAGCTTTTATTAATCTCACTCTTTCTTGTGGACTACTGTACTAAATAAAAGACCAGTTTCAGAATCCTGATTAGAAGAATTGAAATCACATCTGTAATTTTTTCCAACAATAAGCAATACAAAAAGTCGAACTAAACTACGTCTGGTCACCATCTTTGAACAACAAATACACTAATTCACTTGCACTTCAGCAGACAGGCTTCTAATTCTATAATGATATTTCATCCGTCAATGTATTCAGTCGCTATATGTCAGAGTCGAAACAGATTTGGCTGAAGTTTTTTTGTAGACGAGCTGAAGGAAAATCTTTTTTGCCAATTACTTATAAGCGTAAGGACATGACTAATACAAAAATATCTCTGCTCAGATCTCGTCCGTTACCGAGATAGGAACTTTATAATGAATTTATCTGGCAGCTGCAATTTTATAAAAACGTCTTCTGTGGATCAGATGGAGATTAGACCTGTAACAGTTCCAGTTCATAAGTTCAGCTCATTTGAGCGAAAGAACTGTTGAACAGTTCTTTTGAAAGGAGCTGATATGTTTGAACAGATCTTTTGAATTTTTAAAAATTAAAATTTTTTGAAATTTTTTCAACGACTACTGCTAAAGCTTTCACGCTGAAGCAAGAGCTTGCTCAACTCGAAGCACTGGAGA